AATTCTATTTCTCACGCATGTCATTATTTTTAAAGGAAATAAACACGATGACATTACCTTTTTCTAATAATAAACCTAAACAAATTTCAGTAGTATTGTGCGTAACCTATTGAAATGTTAGAACACGACATTGAGAATTATTTAATTTGAACATGATTTATAAATTAATAAATGACATGTAGTTTTAAAGCTTAGATCCTCCTCTTTCATTTGATGCAACTCGTGTGATTCATAGGTCACACATGAGTGATTAAAACAATTTGAAAAAAGGGTACCAAAAAGTTGTTTGGCGAACGGTATCTGAATTTCAAAGAGAAAATCCCATTTCTAGAAAGTTCATTTTCTGCCCTTTCATATGACACCTCAATTTAAAAAGTGAGCCAGGAGTAACAAAGTTTTGTTTGTTTAAAGTAATGATTGCATTTCCTTAGTTTTATTAAAATAATCCGTTGCACTAGCTGTCTGCCCTTACTACAAAAAAGACAAAAGACTTCATGCATGGCTGATTGTCGAGGAGACGTTCTTTGTTGTTTGTTGCTACGGCAGGCAGCCAGTGAAAACGATTTCGTTTAATGAAAATAAAGAGGGCAGTACGCACAGGGATCAGATTTGGTAGTATACATGGAGAAAATAACAAGAATGCTGGCTCACTCCGGTGAAGAAGATATATTCAAGGGGTTTTAAGAGATGGAGTACTATCTAGCTCATTCCCTTAATTTGTACCATCTTCGATGCCGCCAGGAGAAAATATGTCAGGCCTGTGCTTAACTGGATTTTCCTTGCAGATACGTAGACAAAAGATTCCTGCCTAGCTGCAAACTAACGGCCACTTTCAAAGGGAAATATGCTTTTGTAATTATAATTCATTTTCGCTACCACTCGTCTGATAATACGAGCAGTACACAGTGCTTACCTTTACAGGAGGCAAGCGAAAGAAAATGAAGCAAAATTTCCTGTGTGGGCACTAATCTAACTTATAACATCATAAAGAACTGTACATGAACAAACTCAAGAAGATTTCTACAAGGATTAAAGAAAAACTAATTTGTTTGAAGACGAATGATGATGAAAGAATACAAATTTGAGGTTCTCTGCGTACAACAGTTAATCCAAAATATGGCATTCCTGTCATCAATATTCGTCTTCAAACACATTTATTTTAAAAAAACTTGCGAAAGTGTGTGTAAGATGTCATACCCTCTCACGTTATTGTCATTTTTTACCAAAATAATTTCGACAAATTTTGGGCTCTCAGGATTTTAGAGGGGCTTTTACTTAAAGGGGAATTAATCTCTCGACTATGAAGCATTATCATGACATTGGGAGTAAGAAAAAACGTTTCATTTGATATAAAGAGCATTGCTGTAGACCATATAGTATCGTCTTGCAAGTACAATAAAGAGACCGTACTTCGCCATATTTACGACGGCGTCTGCTCCCCAAGGAAGCTTGCCAGTTTATCGAAATTTCCCTTTAAAACTTCCGGGTTGTGACGTATCGCAAGGAGAACTGATGTAGCGCATAAAAGTCAAACATGGTGTACTGTTAAGTGTTTGGTTGTAATAATTGTTCCTCGAAAACCAAGGGGAGATTGTTTCATCGGTTTCCAGACCAACACAATTGCAATTAAATATTCAAGCTATAGGTAGCAGCTCTGAGGGACAGAAATCTCTGGACAAAAATTACAAGTACGACAGGAAAAACAATGTGATCTACAGTGATCATTTTACAAATTACAGCAGGGAAACGGACGTACGCAATAGCGGTCGAGTCCATGCGATACGTCACAGAACGGGCCGTGCGCAAACACAATGGCGACATAACGACTTAACATGTAGTTTGAGGTTAATTAATTCCCCTTTAAGTACAGAATTTAAGAGGAAAGTATGTGATTACGTGCTTGTCATGAAATTTGTTTGGATTATTACAACGGTGCTCTACATTATTTAATAATCACCCTCTCGCACATCACACATTAAACAATTACAAAATATTAACAAAGACAATTGAAAAATTTAAATTACCCATGACTGTCACGGTTTATTTGATCTCCCATTTACCAACTCATCAAATGCCCATGCGCATACTTTTACATAATCATGAATATGTATATAAATGACGATAGTTAAGATTCGTTATGAGTCAAACGATTCGTTGAATTATATCGCGGTATAAACAGCAATTTTCCCTACTCAAGAAAATCTATCGAATCTTTACCTAATCAAAGTTGCATTGATCACGCAGATATTTCAAAATTCCAAAACAAACATTTTAATGAGGGGAACAAATTATTTTAACAATCAATACGTAAAATAGTCAAAGTAGTACTTCTTTTTGGCAAAACCGACTTTATCTTGATGAGGGAAAATCAATATAATTCATAAAATAGACGGTGACGCATATATCACAGGTACCATAAAATAATGTAATTTCAAACATAGATATTTGATAATCTAATGTTGTTGTTTTTTTCAATTCAAATGAACATTTATTTTCTTCCAAACAATACAATTTATAAGTAGGAACATAAATAGAATTAAAGAACTGATGAAGCATTATAAAACAGGTATCATAAAATAATGTAATTTCATAAGATAGATATTTGATAATCTAATGTTCTTGTTTTTTTCAATTCAAATGAACATTTATTTTCTTCCAAACAATACAATTTATAAGTAGGAACATAAATATAATTAAAGAACTGATGAAGCATTATAAAACAGGTATCATAAAATAATGTAATTTCAAAAGATAGATATTTGATACTCTAATCTTCTAAATTCAATGACACAACTTCGGTATTCGTTTATATTTTGTTTGACTGTAAGTTTTTGATTTGTTAAGTCATATTCTGTGAATTCCAATGCATTCTAACAACTATGACATATGGATCAGAAACATGGTCATTGACAAAGGATCGAGAACAGAAGCTTGTGACTAATCAACGAGCTATGGAGAGAAAGATGTCGCATTTATCTCTGGGAGACAAAATCAATCACAAAGTCATCCGCCAGAAAACAAAGGTTAAAGACATCATGGAGAAAGTTAGAGAATCAAAGTGGAGATGGGCTGGGCATGTAGCAAGACTTCATGACAATAGATAGACAAATCATTTAACAGAATGGTAATCAAGGATGGGAAAGAGAAGAAGAGGAAGGCAGAAGAGAAAATGGAGAGATGACCTAACATCATACATGGGAACGTCCGCTTGGACTAGGTAAGCTAGAGACAGAAGAGAATGGAAATGCTATTAGGAGGGCTTTGTCCAACGTCTGGATGAACTATAGCCTGATAGATAGATATATTCTGTGCGTCTAGTACATATTGTCGGATTCATATATTTGTTAGGGTTCTGCCTCGAAAGGCCAATGGCCTATGCGGTTCCCTTCTACATTTGTCAAATTGTAGAATTTCTGCATTGTGCCTATTCTTGTTAAATGTACATGACGTAAATGGAATTCAATGCTAAGGTCATACGAAAACTAAATAAATGACTAACCATTTATCCCAAATATGGAAGAGTACAGTCAATATTGCCTATTTTCCCCGAAGAGTCTTACTTTCAATTCTGTATGTTTCCAATACGATTTTTTTCACGGAATTGCAACATGGATTTAAATCAATTTTCAAACACGAAAAATAAGAGCCCTTTTAAGGAAAACGGTCGACACCAGCGTAACAATTTGTAAAGCGTTTCAGAAGGTAGTCATGGGCGGGTCCATGCGTTAACAACGTAATCCTACCCCGAATATACCATCTTCATCCGGATTGAGGAGGTCACTGGTTTTGGTCAATTATACCAGCATGTTTGTCCTTTCCCCATTGCACAAAATCTGACCATTGTTTGAAATAGATGAAAATGCATTACGGTGTTCCCATATATTTATGTGTTTATTAAACGAAAGAACTATTTTTTTCTAACCCTAACCCTAAGGAATGCTTATTGTATATTAGTGAATATTATTTCATTAGATCCCGAAGGACAGCGGGAAACGTCGTCTCCCCCCCCCCCGAAAAATATGACAAGTACCAACTAACAGATGTATATCAAATACTGACTAAAGACTGCAACACACTTTTAGGCTCTGGAGGGCCCTGGAGGGCAGCGTTTCTTCTTCTTCTTCTTCTTCAAGATAATCTGCCTCCTTCAATACTGAAGATTCTTGCCGATGCCGTATACTCGGCCTGATTGGGGTGTGCAGCTGGACCATTACATCGGGGTTTTCCCCTACTCTTATATGAATAATGCAATGGGTTCTTAACGTGCAAGGGTGGTGACTCTCCTGTACACGGGGCCTTCATTTAACGTCCTATCCGAGGGACGGAGTGTTTTCCACTTGACATAACCTGCATCTATGAACAAGGGAAGGGGCACATTAACACACAACGCAAACTTCAGTTATCCGCCTGGGTGGGAGTCGAACCTGGGATCTTTGGTTCGACAGGCAGACGCTTTACCGACTGAGCCAACTCGCCTCCTCAGCCTAATACAATTGCAAAAATCGTCTCACTCGGTCGCTACGCTCCCTCGCATAATATCCTTCAAAATGTACAAGTAAATAGTGGGAAATAGAATTCAGATCCATGCCCAACCTCCCTTCTTACTAAAATTTACCTACTAAATAAATACAACCCTTCGGACTGCACACTTATTACCGGCAAAGTAAAAGTGAAGCGTGAAGAAGTACATTGCTTGTTTTTCTACTACAGTTTTGCTAAGGAATGTAATTTTCGAATACAACAAAACTTTAAAAATCTGTGAGGGGGGAGTCACTTCCGTTACCTTCACCCCTCTCGTTCACTTTGATCCCTCGTCCATCGCATACCCCCTCCCCCCCCCCCCCCTCGATCATATTTTGTAGAATGGGGAAATAACAAGAATGCTGGTACAATTGATCAAAATCAGTGACCTCTTCCTGGTATATTCGGGGTAGGTTTACGTTATTAACGCATTATCTCGCCCATGACTGCCTCACAAAAAGCTTTATAATATTGTTACACTGGTGTAAACTATCGCAGTACCATCGCAGTTCAGAATACAGGTCTTCTCAAACTTTTGGAGGGCAGTGTACGTACCTTGTAAGTATTGCTAAGTTTCTTATTTTTGCTTTCATTGCGCTAGATGTTGACAAGACGAGCTTTGCATTGCTGTATCAGATCATGGACATACCACAGATGTGTTAGATCAATGATCAGGTCTACATTTTAATGAGAAGTGGAATTATTGAAACGGGCAAGTTTCCGAAAAAGTCTTTGACATCTAATGATTTTACCATTTTGCCGACCTCAATGGCATCGCTCTACCGTGTGGTGGGTTATGTATTTCATCGCCCTCATCTTTGCAGTTTTCCTTCCAGATGCAGTTTGTTTTGTACAATGCTCATTGAACACAAGGCGTTATTGACCTGACGTAGGACTGCGTTAGTGACTGATTAGCGTAAGTGATAATGCAATCGAAACGAGAATTTCATGACGCAGTCCTTATTCAGCAAGTGATATTTTTATTTATATATTCCATATATTATTAGTTGTTGTATTCATATATCAGCTATCTCTGCCACATCATCTAAGGGGTCTTAACTAAACAAACTTTGCTTCAACCAAGATCTCCTCGTCTTTCTTTTTCCACATTGTACCGTTTTGATTAAACTCTATTATATTTTGTAACATGTGATTTCTGGAAAACAAAATAAAGTTGATACTTGATACTTGACCTGATCTAGGTGCAAAAGGGCATCAGGAAACACTCAAGTGACAAAATTCTACGCGCTGGTGGTTGCTGCAACTGAAGAAGGAAACTCTGCTTTCATGTCTTTGGAGACAATGCTGGATTACAGCTCACTGCCGTAACTCACAAGGGAAAATGATGACTACCGCACACGGGCCTATTTATAAGACACATACCTCATTTCAATGTTAAATTCTTTTGAATTTCCTACATGTGGTTTCGCTTCCTAGTACCTGGGAATATGATTACCTTTTCGACTTATAATTCATCGTCTTTAATAGAATTCAAACTATACTTCATGTTATTTGCATATTTTAGGAAATTGTGAACTATGGATCTCAAGACGATAGACATCACCGATCCATGCGGGGTACAGGCAGTCTTTGATAATCTTCTGGATTGTCAAAACAAGGAGGACATGGCGAAGCTTTACGACAATATAGCACCAGACTACGATATGGTAATGTATTTATTTTCTTGAAGAAATGCCACCCTTTACATATGCACACATACACACATACGCACACACACAAACACACACACTCATCCTTCTTGTTTCAATTATCCTAGTGTTCAAATACGGACCACTAAAATAACGATCAGGTCACTGAAAAGAAACGCGGCAAATTATAAGATAATTGTCTTCTATTCCATTTATGTAATGTTATGGATGATGAATGATAGAGGGCTAGGACATAGCTATTTATTGATGTATAGATATGAATTAATTGAATTTAATACAAATTACAAAATTAATCTGACCCCATTGAGGTCAGAACCTATCAGATATCTATGTAGATGTTCCAAACTCAACATTTATTTCGGTAGATCGAATGGTCAGGTTATATAGGCTCCGGGATGGTCACACCGATTGGATCACGTGACTAGGGATTAAGGAGAGAGACAATGGATGACCTTCGAGGCATGTTCGGCACTCTTGACGTTTGAGCCAGACTTCAGAGTTGCATATAAACCTTATTGTATAGACTATTTTAACTGAATCTATCGACTTTTCTTCATATTCATAATTTCAAAATCTTCTAAATATTCCCAAAGAATTTGAACACTAACTTTTCATTTACGATAGCCACAGATATTGCAAATTAAGTTGACAATAATTTCCAAGTTTAAGATAACACAGGAATCTGAAAAAAGGACATATAAATGCGTCTTGTCTCTGCTTCATGCAGTGGAGAAGAAAGCAGTGTGGCTTAAGGTCACGTTTGTTTTACTCATGTGTGACCTGTCTCGTTAACAGGGGACACCCAATGTCCTCCAAAAACGTCCGTCTCCCTGAAAAGTCAAAATGTGAAGTTCTTTTTTAAGTACGAGTTATATACTCTTGTTAAGGTAAGCAATGAATGGGCTGGACCTGCTGAAACGGCGGCTAAGCTTCAGGAAATCGAACCAAACAAAAATGCTTGTATTCTTGATGTCGGATGTGGAACTGGTTTGGTTGGCAAAGCAGTAAGTATCCCGATATCATGAATCTCACTATTGCACAATTCATGTTTTCTCCACATCTCGTCACAAACATGCACACACAAAAAGAACAAAATAACTTCAGCGATGTCTTCTGCAGATTTTTCTTTCACCCAAAATGTTATTTACACATGTATTCATATTTTATCCTCGAGTTTTGTTATTCCCATAGGCGTCGCTTGAAGAGGGTGTAGGGCGTTTAATTTGTTCCCCTTCAAAATTCGCTACCAGCAACTTCCGGATTTTCAGTCAAGTAGTAAAATGGCAAAATAATCTTGATGATTTTTTTTCTCACCTTCTTTCTCCTTTGATCATTGAATATATTTCGCATCTATTTGCTTATTTGACAATGTGACAACCCCCTTTATTCAAAACTGACATCATTGTAATAATTAATAATGTTATTATAATTAATTCATTAATTATTCATAATTATTAATTAATAACTGTTAAGTCACTAACTACAGGTCGTTCAAATGTCTGGTTCCAATATTATATATTTTATATTCTGTCTTTCAAAAAAAGGTTTCGGATGTAGGCTACCTCAATCTGTACGGAATTGATATGTCCGAGAGTTCGTTGAACATCGCGAGCGAGAAAGGAGTCTACTCAAAGTTGATTAACGCTACATTTGGACCCGAAACTCCTCTTAACTACAAAGACGGTAAATATCGAAATGAGTGGATGTCGATGTCTTATTTCTTATGCAACCTCTCAGTAATAAAGTACATTGTTTAAAGTTAGATACAAAATAGCCCGATATATCCCTGCTTTCCACCAACTTTAAGTAAATATTATGCGAAATTTCTTTCACGAAAGAGGAAATCCAACCTTAGTAGCATAAAAATCTGAAAAGTAGACATGTGAAAATTTGAATGAGATCGGAAACGAACTGGGAAGACATGCATTGATGTAAGTCATAATCACTAGATGCTTTTCAAATCGTCTGAATCGGTAATGTCTTTGTGTGTGATGTTTAGTGGCGGACAACTTTACCATTCGTTCCAACACAAAAATATAACACAAAATTCAAATTTTTCAGAAATGTATGACTTAGGAGGGTCTAATTTTAGATAATACTATCCATAATATTTGTCAAGGGGTGACCTAAGGGAGAAGGCACTCGGGAGTAAAAAGAGATGAATGAAGAACAGAATTTTATTTTCACAGAATGGAGAGTTTTCCCTTTGGTAGTGCATGAACCTAACTCTAGAGACTAATGCTACGGTCACAAAGGTTCATACGAACGATGGTTTCGTACGAAACTCCCTGTTTTTCCATTGTCTTCCCGAATTTCCATTGTCTGAAAATCGTTCGTACGGCGTTCGCAGCAGTTCGTAATGGCATTTGTGACCGAGGCTTTAGGCTGACCTGACCCATTAGCGCAAAGCTATCTGGTCTAGTTCTGGTCTAGGTCTAGTAAATCCATATACAGTCCAGAACTAGACTAATAGCTATCGAGAATACGACCACATGATATGTGTTTGTCCCATCTTTTACCACTAGGATTTTTCGATGTTGCGTTATCTACTGGATGTTTTCTACCAAACCATCTCGACCACACTCATCTACCTGAAATGATACGACTCGTGAAGAAAGGTCAGAATATTATAAAACCATACATGAATCTCAATTTGACACTCTCCAACCAGGCGTTAAATAGCTACCCGGTAGCATGGGGACGTTAAAGATAAACTCCAGTTCTGGTTAAAAAAAGAAGAAAATTAATTCTCACAGAATCAAACAAAACTTACACTGAATGTTCAAGATTACAAATAAATGACATGTGCCAAACAATTTTGGAAGAAAATGTATACTGGCTGAGTAATGAGCATAGAAAGACAAGGAAATCAAGGTAGTACTAGCCCCGACACCATGTGTGTTGTCCTATATATAGCTTTCTGTGTACAGTGCTTGTTACTTTACCAAGACTCGGTCAAATTTATTATGATTTTGATGACTCCAGAACCTTGCAGTGCACACCAATACTTACATTCTACATGATTAACTGTTTCTGATACTTTCCACACCTTTCCTTTCACAATGCAATCGCATTACCAGTACTAAAGTTTATCTGTAATGTGGTTGGATTGGTATATCTGCACTTGTGAAATGGTTCCTGGCCGGACCGGGGTATGACCGGTGTAATAATAATTACAATCTAAAAGATTGGAAACGTAGTATTAAGCGTCTTACCAATATGACTATGATTGGTATTGTTATATACGGAAGCCCATTAGTGCCACCTACGAAATAAATTTAAGAGAAATTATCTGGCGGCCGCCAGTTAATTATCTGGCGGCCGCCAGATAATTATCCGTGTCTTCACGGTTGTTTCATCGCAAAGCATGCCGGGACATAATTCTAGTACATTTTTACCTTCGCCGTGATCAGCTGTCCCGTTGCAAACAACGGGATTCTTATCGAAGCAACATCTTAATCTTGTACATAATCCGCTATTCTGCAGTGATTTTCTTTCACTCCAGTATCGTTTGTACGGTAAGAAACCAAAGTTTGTGTTTATTCATTTTTATGACGAATAAAGCTGATAATACGACGTAATGCATGAGAGTGGGCCGGGTCAAGCTTTAGTAAATGTAGGCCTAGACCTCTAGATCTAGTCCCGTATGTTTAAATGTGTGTGCATTTTAAGTAGACTGATTGCCTTGTGTCTTAGGTAGAAGTTAACCAAATTTACAGTAAAATGAGACTTATGTCTCAGGAAATATGAATAGGTCTAGATCCTATAGACTATACATATTCGATATTGGAATAGGATCTACTAGAATGGCCGACAGTTGGATAGTGATGGCAATTAGTAAATGTAAAAAAGTAAAAGAGGCCATGAAAACGATAGATTTGTCGATCTTGATCTGAATATAATAGTCTATGTATTGATGAGCTCTACTTGAGGATCTACATGACAGGGGCGTATGAAGGAATTTTTCGAGGGGGGGGGGGTTAAAATTTGAAAATCGTGCCGAAAATTTCACATCGCCTCAGCCAGCCGGTGAATGAGAGGGGGGGGGGGTCGGTTAGAGCATCTATTTTTTCCCGAAAATATGAATTTGGCAGACCGATATTTTGTTCAGTTGATGGTAAGGTCACCTTTTTGGGGTCACCCTTTTGGGGTCACCCTTTAGCACAAAAATATTTCCCCATAATCTAGTGTGATAAGGGTTCTTTTGTTACCGTTATTCTTCAGGTTACAAATTTAAATTTGATTGTCTTTTTCCTTTTATTTATCAGTTGCAGCATCATCAAACACTATATGGCCGATGAATCAGAAGATGACGTGGATGCTACGAGAGAGCTCATTTCACAATGGACAACAGAAGTGATACGTGACTTTCTACAAGGAGGGGACTCAAGCTTGGAGAAGTCATTACTTTATGGGTGTTCTCTGCCCTGACGCTGGGGGTACTGTTCAGCCATGAGAGGTAGAGAGGTAGAGAGGAACTGGACGATGGATGGATGGGGGGGGGGGAAGAAAGGCATGTAGAGATGGCCGTCTACTATGTATAGAGACATTTGTGTGCTACTGGATAAGGACCCTCCATCACTAGAGGGAAGAATAATGAGAGACTACAAAGAGGGGAAGGCATTTAGTTATTTTGTCAGTTTCTGGTTAGGGAGACATTTGTTTCATCTCCTGGGAGAAAGCTGTCTGAAATTCAAAATGTATTTGATACTTGAATAAATTTAGTTCATTTTCTAGACTGGTTCATGTCAAACCATTGATTCTACTTTCTTGTGAGTATACACTGTAGTCAGAGAGAAAAAGAAGTAACACGAGTAAAGAATGAAAATTGAAAAAGAAGCCAATATTTGAACGAGGAGGAGAAAATGGAGATTACGTTGTTGCCCATCAAGTTGGAATAATTGTTCTTACTGTTTGTACATAATGGTCATATATTATAAGAACTGTATTGATCAATCTCAGGAGTCTTATACATGTAGATTGATTAATACAGTTTTGAGATGATGATGATGATCGTGATGATGAACGAGAAGAAGAGGAGGAATATATCAAGAGTTGATGAAGAAAAGATTGATAGAGGGGTTATCATTACAGAGAGAAAGAGAGATAGACTAACATGAGGAAGGGAGAGCAAGAACAAGGCTATGACATAGGGGAAGAGATAGAAATCAAAATTATATTTATACAAACATTTACTAAATTAAAATAATAAATTAGAATACAAGGCGAGAGGAAAGAATGCAAACTAAAATTGAGCAAAGACCATCACTATATCGTTCACATTATAATATAAATTAAGAAAAGGTACATGGAAACATGTACATTTGTAAAATTCAATCTTTCATTCTCTTGATCTTCCTCTTCACACCTAATTCTTGCTCTCCCTGTCTATCTCTCCCCCTCTCTCCTTATTATCACTCTTTCTCTTTCATTAAGTGTCGACATCTCTCTCAATGCCTCTCTCTGTTTCTATGTTTCTCTTGTTAAATATTTTAAACATCAGGTCTGTCTGACCTTCCTCTCTTGAATAAATCATGAATAACTTCAACTCAGTGTCCTACATTCAGTAATGATTGCTTAGTAGTCATCTACAACCCTCGCTGTGTTGTTTGATTTTATTTATAAAATAAATATAACCATGAGATCAATATCAACAGGTTTAATGCAATGCATATAAGTTGACATCCTATGAAGAAGTAGTACCAATCTCTACCAATCTCTGGTTCGTAACAAAATTTAAAAAATTAAAATATAAAAAAACCGCTACTTTTAAAGCGCTTACCACCAAAATCTCTAAGCGCTATAACAAACAAAAATAGACTGATAAACAATTACATATTAAACAAAACAAAAAAGTGTGAATAAACCTACAAATTACAATACATATACCGTACATGTACATCAAAGTGAACAGAGCCTGGCAGCAGAGTTTTGGATTCTCTGGAGTTTTGCAATGAAAAAGATCTGCCCGTATTGACTTAACACAGGGGACTTATGCTTAAAAAAAAGGGGGGGGGTGCTGGGAACATGCATGTTGCAATGCTGCAATGATAATTTTAGGTCAGTCAAGAACTCAATGACTTTTACAATCCAATCGCCTGTCTGATTATCAAGATATTTACGATTGGAAAAAAAATGTACTAGAATTATGTCCCGGCATGCTTTGCGATGAAACAACCGTGAAGACACGGATAATTATCTGGCGGCCGCCAGATAATTAACTGGCGGCCGCCAGATAAATAACTGGCGGCCGCCAGATAATTAACTGGCGGCCGCCAGATAATTAACTGGCGGCCGCCAGATAATTAACTGGCGGCCGCCAGATAAATAACTGGCGGCCGCCAGATAATTAACTGGCGGCCGCCAGATAATTAACTGGCGGCCGCCAGATAAATAACTGGCGGCCGCCAGATAATTAACTGGCGGCCGCCAGATAATTATCCGTGTCTTCACGGTTGTTTCATCGCAAAGCATGCCGGGACATAATTCTAGTACATTTTTTTTCCAATCGTAAATATCTTGATAATCAGACAGGCGATTGGATTGTAAAAGTCATTGAGTTCTTGACTGACCTAAAATTATCATTGCAGCATGAGCTAAATCCAGGATTTTGTTTCAGAATCTGAGATAAAGTTACCGGATCCCTTTAAATGCGTTTGCATTAAAGGTGGTACCCCCCCCCCCCCCAACTCAGTGTTATTTAGGGTAAGCACATGCATGTTCCCAGCACCCCCCCCCCCTTTTTTTTTTTAGCATAAGTCCCCTGTGTTAAGTCAATACGGGCAGATCTTTTTCATTGCAAAACTCCAGAGAATCCAAAACTCTGCTGCCAGGCTCTGTTCACTTTGATGTACATGTACGGTATATGTATTGTAATTTGTAGGTTTATTCACACTTTTTTTGTTTTGTTTAATATGTAATTGTTTATCAGTCTATTTTTGTTTGTTATAGCGCTTAGAGATTTTGGTGGTAAGCGCTTTAAAAGTAGCGGTTTTTTTATATTTTAATTTTTTAAATTTTGTTACGAACCAGAGATTGGTAGAGATTGGTACTACTTCTTCATAGGATGTCAACTTATATGCATTGCATTAAACCTGTTGATATTGATCTCATGGTTATATTTATTTTATAAATAAAATCAAACAACACAGCGAGGGTTGTAGATGACTACTAAGCAATCATTACTGTATGTAGGACACTGAGTTGAAGTTATTCATGATTTATTCAAGAGAGGAAGGTCAGACAGACCTGATGTTTAAAATATTTAACAAGAGAAACATAGAAACAGAGAGAGGCATTGAGAGAGATGTCGACACTTAATGAAAGAGAAAGAGTGATAATAAGGAGAGAGGGGGAGAGAAAGAGAGAGAGAGAGAGAGAGAGAGACGGAGAGGGGTGGGAGAGATAGACAGGGAGTGCAAGAATTAGGTGTGAAGAGGAAGATCAAGAGAATGAAAGATTGAATTTTACAAATGTACATGTTTCCATGTACCTTTTCTTAATTTATATTATAATGTGAACGATATAGTGATGGTCTTTGCTCAATTTTAGTTTGCATTCTTTCCTCTCGCCTTGTATTCTAATTTATTATTTTAATTTAGTAAATGTTTGTATAAATATAATTTTGATTTCTATCTCTTCCCCTATGTCATAGCCTTGTTCTTGCTCTCCCTTCCTCATGTTAGTCTATCTCTCTTTCTCTCTGTA